CAATGGTTGCTGCTAGGGCTTTCAAATTTCACAGGTATATTCCTCGGGACAAGACCTTACTTTGAGTACCAACATATCTGATTTGCATTTAAGAAAGTTTAACTTTCGCTAGAAGTTGCCATATGAGGGCATCAGTGTTTCACAAACACATCTTGTTTCTTAAAGACTCACATGCTTACCACTAAACCACATAACAGAAAGTGGCAGTTATAAGACCCTTGAATAACTAGACTTCAAATATTTTTCGGAAGGATACAAATTTTGTCATAAAAGTGTATTTTTAGTGTAGAGTGGGTCCTTCCTCCATATAATGTTTTTTTAATAAGCAAAAATTGTATATTTTAAAACATATTTTGAAGATTTACTTTCTGAAAAAAATGGAGCGAAGACCCTCTAATATGTATACGTTAATGTTAATTGAAAAAAAAACAACAAAGAAGTGATATTTAATTTTTCACTTTCTTATTTATCAAACAATAGGCATTTTTCATGGCTTGATCGCCCATCTTCTTTCATCACTGATACATATTCAGAATAGAGCCATGTGTTTAAGATGCCCGTTGCCTTTTTTCTTTGCGTTACTTATTACTGAAATCGTACCTTTTCGTTTTTTCACTATGAACTTCTTGTAAAGATGACACATCAAAAGCTTCGTAACTCCCTGTTTTGCATAAAACACATTATCAAATGTGAAGTTTTAATTTTTAATATAATATATCAAATATCAAATAATAGTACGTTGAATAATGTGATGATTACTGAGTACAAACACTCATTTATACATACCATAGTTACTTTGGAATAATGACGTAAAACATGACTCAAGATTGTTTTCTTTACCTTGGACCTGCTTAATGACAGAAAATGTTTGATGTAAATTAAGAAATCTATCTGGTTTTGATGTCAAATGAATATTTTGCAACAACTGTCCTTGACTAATAAAATATTTTTTTTTAAAAATTCCTCCATGCACATGCTTTTTGTCAAAAGTCCTTAATCAAAAAGTCAGGCCTGCATAACGCCCCTCCCCTCCTTTTTTGAGTATAGTAATATTATATAGTCTTTTTTGATCGACAGCTTATTTTTGGAAGTCCCTCTCCAACTTTTTGGACAGTTTAGGTTTTCATTTTATTCATTTATTTTTTGGCTTGTCAGTTTTTTTGTTTTTTTTTGGGGGGGGGGGGATGCCCCCCTTTTTTGAAACCGCTGCTAGGGGCCTGAAAAATAGTTAAATACCCTTTTGCCTTGAACTGTTGTCCTTATGTTGAGTTACTAATAGGGTTTTTTTTAAATTTCCCTTACGATTACTTATCTTGATTAAATATTTTTGGTCATAAAGTTGACCCTTTAGTCCTAGTCTACACATGCTCCAATGTATGTATATGCATCTATTATAATATTTTTTTTCGTTTCACCCTATCAAAGATTACGCAGGATGATTACTAGTATGTTCGCTGAAGGATGTGAACTACATGTGGTTAAAAGTACAATGTGTAGAATTTCTTGAAATAGTGGAGTTTTCATGATTCGCTTAATTAAACTCAGCTTATAAATCAGGGGACAGACAATTTAAAAGCATCGAAAGGGTTTTCAGTGTTCATCCTAGTTATGTAACCTGACATTTCTTTGGCTTTTGTCCCCTGCTTTTGCGAAATCGAGGGGACATTAAATCTCATTCGTCCGTCTGTTAATCCGTCCGTCTGTCAGTCTGTCTGTCAAAAAAACTTTAACATCGGTCATAACTTTTCGATAAGAGATAAGGCTTTCATATTCCACATGTACATTACCTGTGACAAGATCTTTCCAAATATACTATTATTTTTGACCCCGTGGTCTTGACCTTGAAGTTTGACCTACATTTCAAAAAATTTAACATTACTTTAAATTGATCATAAAATTTGAATGAGAACAGATAGGGCTTTCATATTAAATATGTACATTACCTGTGACAAGACCTTTCCAAATATAGTACGGTTTTTGAACCCATGACCTTGAAGTTTGACCTACTTTTCAAAATTTTTATCTTTGCTTATAACTTTTGATTGAGAATAGATAGGGCTTTCATTTTTGACTTGTGCATTAACAGTGAAAATATGTTTGTAAGCATGCTATGATTTTTGACCTCTTGACCGTGACCTTCATGCTTGACCTAATTTTCAAAAAAATTAGTTTTGGTGATTACTTTTAGATGAAATGACATGGGTTCATAATTGACAAGTGCATTACCAGTGAAAAGGTGTTTTCGGGCATGCTATGATTTTTTACCCTTGACCCTGACCTTCAAGTTTGACTTAATTTTCAAACATTTCATCAGTGTTGCTAACTTTTGGAGGAGCGAAGATAGGGCATTCATATTTGACACGTGCATTACCTGTGACAAGTATTTCCAACTGTATTATGATTTTTAATCCCATGACCTTGACCTTGAAGTTTGACCTAATTTTCAAAAATTTTAACACTGCTAATAACTTTTGATTGAGGGAAGATATGGCATTTACATTTGACATGTGCATTACCTGTTTCAAGATCTTTCTGACTGTATACTCTGGTTTTTGATATTTTTTCACATGCATAAGTATGTGCATTACTTGTGACAAGACCTTTCGGATTTTATGATATTTGACCTCATGACCTTGATCTTGAAGTTTGATAGAGTTTTGAGAAGCTATAAGCTTTGCCATAACTGTTATTAATTCAATAATTTATGTCTTTTTTATATAATGCACAGACAAGAAGGACACAAGACAGTTAAAATATGCCATAAATAATGGCATCTCATCCACTAAGACACCGAAAGCGGGGGACAACAATTCTTTGATTTTGCTTGTTGCTTCAAAGATTCGTACAACCGATTTCTCTGTATAATATTCAAGTGTAAGTTACTTAACATTATGTTTTCAATGCATGTATACTTGATCAATTTTTATATGGTGTAGGGAAGGGGCATGGCTAAGTGCAATTTGTAGCGAAGTGATTTGTTCTTATCTTCACATAACTATGTCATTATGCCATGTGAATAATGTGCATGTTCTTAATTTACAGGGGTTTTTTATGCAATGCATATGCATGTCTGTAAAAAAAAAAAAATACAATAGAAATGAAGTGTACGATTCGCTCTCCGAGGTCTGTTAGTATATCTCTTTTAAATTCTTATCACAAGACTATACGTCAATTAACTTTTCAGTCCATAAATAAATAAACATTGATAAAATTTTACAATGATTTCAATTATCAACCTTTATTTCAGTTAATACTCATACTAATTACTTCAACCAATCGGAAATTCAGCTTTTAAATAAAATCTAAAACGTATGCAGTTTTTATTTCTTTACTATTCCATTTTTTATTTATTTATTTATTTTTTTTTTTTGATTGTCTTACCTTGAGATTGGAAAAGTGTGCTATAAATATTAAAACCAATATAAAGAAAGACGCCATTTTCACTAAAAGCTACCAAAAAAGTGTTGGTATCCCTAAGGTCAGCCTGCACAGTAGTCAGCCATGCACTGCTAATCTTATCTAAGTCACAATGTCAATATATAATGATTGCCCCCCTCGTCTTATCATTCTTCAAGTTTTGCAGATACTTTGATGAAACAGAAGAGTATATACTATAGAATTTGGCCCAGATTATTCACAAGCTCTTCCAGTGATATAAATATTAAGCATTTTTTATATCGCAAATCAAAATCGTTCTACACAACTTCACTCATATTGAAACACAAAACGTCGACCAGTTTACAAGGATATGCAGATATATACTCAACAGCCTAGGTCCGAAAAATACGTAGTGACTGTTCCTGCAATCTCTTGGCATAAGAAATCTAGAGTCATAACTGCCCAAATCCTGCTGGAATTTGCCAGTGCTCGATCTACCTTACAGCAACAAAAAGAAGGGGGGGGGGCAACCAGCATCTAAAGGCAAATCTACTATAGCAAAATACTATACCCAGAAAAAATCCCCCCCCCCCCGCGTTCTACGGGCCTTCATTTGCTAAATTATGATTAGTGTTTATTACAAACTTTCGTATAAAGAGTGGTGACTTCAATCATGCATCTACTGCCTCCTTCAGTTTTGTCCTCACTTACCCATCACTGGCATGCACAGCGGACCGATTTATTCTGGGAACAAATTATGAAGCAGTATAGGTTGCAGCAAGTATACTTTAACTCGTGCTTCCTATTCTATAGAAAATCTCCTGAATTTTTTCATCATCATTATCTGTTAAATATAACAAACTGGATAGGAATTTCGCTGCACAAACACTGTTGTTCAATATTACTACGTACCCTGGCCTCCAAAAACCAAAAGTCACACTAGATCACTTTTATTATTGTTTTGATAATACTACATGTAGTTCTTAATTTTCTTCTCTTCGATTTAAGACCAGAAGCAGGTGGAAAAAACTCACCACAAAAAAATCTGTGTACACTGTATATGTTTTCTATATATATAGCCAAAAGAACCATTATATATCTAAAATATTATTATTATCAGTTTAAAATCATTATGATTTTTTAACCTGTTTTTATATGGCTTTTCATATCTTGAACATTAGTGATTACCAATGTATATCAAATTTCACAATTTCATTAAATTTCTTTTGAAAATATGATTGTCTGTGTGTAAAAATATTTTTTTCTTGGAGTTTCAATGATACATTTAACAAAATGTCAACAAAACAAAATTAATCAAAAAACTAAAAATGATTACCTGTCGGCTTTTCTTAACTGCATTTTAAAGCTCCATTGAAATTACTTATTTGCGACTAGAAGTTTTTCCATTTTCCAAGAAAAGTACCAAACAAATCATGTGAATTAAATAAGAGATTAAATGAAATAATATGTCAAAAAGATACCTTATTTAAGTTATACATGAACTGAATAAACTTGCTATGGGTAAGATTCCCGGATAAAATGTGCCAACGAGAGCGGTCTTCTTTTAGTGTTCATACGAAAACATCCTGCTTGACTCACGTGATTGTTCTTCCTCCGACAACTTGAGTCTTCACAAGGAGTTTACTCATGATGTTTAGCGTTATGCTCCGCAATCGTTGAAAGAAAGTATTCCATATTTAGCAAGTAAGTTAATTAAACAATATTTTTAACCTGTAAAAAAGTTTTGTCTTTCTTACAAACATGTTTTGAAGCAGGTACAGTTTTAGTTGCAATAATGTAGCCCTCTCCGATTTTTTTTTTAATCTGATATTTTCCTCTCCCCCCCAAAAAAAGGGGGGGGGAGGGCTACATTATTGCAGCTAATAGGTCCCTAGTTTTACAAAAGAACTTAAGACGATCCTAAAATCTTGCAAAAATAATGTTTCTGTTAAAAAATTGCTTACATAAAAATATCGATCTAAATTCTTTTTTAAAAGATTACAACCATTTTTAAATATATGTAAAAAAAAAAAAGAAAAAAAAGTTATTTGCAAAATTACATTTTTGTTTTAGTCGTAAGGTTTTGTGTAAAACGAACCCTGGTTTATAAACATTTTTCTTTTTCATTTTTTTTTTAAATTAAATATGTTTTCTAGCACATAAGTTTAAGCTTTTCATTCAAATCTATATTTTTCCCCAATTTACTATGACACTTCTGAGTTCAAAATTTGTTGTTTCCATGGTTTTATAGGCACAAGCTTGTCTTCACCATGACGTTCCTAGTCATCCTTCCTGTTTTGTCAGTCTGTGTTATAGGGACAGCATCAGAGACCTACATATTAGATGACAGCGCAGGGTTCGGAAGGCGGTTTGATGGAGTCGGTGGCCTAAGTGGAGGAGGAGTATATATAATTCTATTTGCTATCATTACAAATACATATACATGTAGAGTATTTATTGGAAAACTGGAATTTATCCATTGAATAAAAGTGATATTTATAAAAGTGATGCATCACCGCAAAAAATATCAAAAATGCGGCAAAGCTCTCCCTTTTCATTCCCTTCATGAAGAACCATCCTGACCAAATTAAATCTGTTAAGTTTTTCCAAATTGTACATTGTTAATATATACATGTTTACAATTTTCAGTCTCACAATGGCTTAGGTTTGACATCAAAGACCCCCCCCCCCTCCCCACCCCCCACCCCCCAAAATCAAAGAAAATGTAATAAACAGAAAGTTCTATTTTAATAGTTGGATATGGAATTTATTTCACGAGTGGGACCGGATTTTTTGATATTTTCACTTTTATTTAGCACATGTGATAATATAAAAAAATCCTGCCCCACTCATGAAATAAATTCCATATATCTGCGGTCCTATATCTACAGGGCTAGAAATAATTATTTTTGTTTACTGGTCACTCGGGCTATTGCCTTAAATTTTTACTGGTCAGCTTAGTAATTTCACTGTCCCACTGGGCCAGTACTGGACCAAAACCATATTAATAATAGTAATATTTTTTTATATTGTGATACTTAGAAGTACAATTTAACAAAACAAAAAACAGCAAAAATTTTGGACACACAGCCCTGTCAAGTTAACTAGCCCAACTGTGAATGAATTTTATTATGCATAAAAAAATGCTGACCCAAAGGGCACATACCTTCTGCAATGTACTAGCCCAGATTGAAAATTCACTGGTCCCAGACCAGAGGGCCATCAATTATTTCGAGCCCTGATCTAACTACAAAACATTAAATATCCTCTATATACATGTATAATTCTATACAATATCAATATAAATATGTAGAATATGTATATAAATCTATACAATATCATTACTAGTACATGTACATATATATACTTCATATAGAGTATATTTAATTCTATACAATATCATTTCTGGTTTAATTATATAGAGTACCGGTATACAGTCAAAATTCCTTTTGTCAAACTCTATGGGACTGAGACTAAACTTTGAGATATCCAAGGATTTGAGACAACAAGGTTAAAAAACACAAAGAAAAATTAGTTGGGACTGCCAAATGACTTTGACATATCCTTGGTATTAGAGATATTGGTGTTCAAGATAATGAAGTTCAACTGTATATGATTCTAGACAGTATCATTAAGGCATTATTTATGCTCTTTCACCATTTGTGATAAAATGGAAATCTACAGAAAAAATATAATGTTAAATTTCTTGAAAATGTAAATCAATATTTGTAGTTCTTTGCCTTTATCATTATCAAATTGTATATGTACATCTATATAACATAGGCAAATGTTCACTTATAAATCCCTGTCTCAGTGTCTAGTGTTGAATCAAATATTAAGCTATTTTAATTTAGTTAGATTTGAAAACTTCTTGTATTTGCCATGAGTACATTGATGCTTTGGTTGCATGTGTATTTAAGTGGTATCTTAAGTACACTGAAGTTTGCATAACATGAAATGATAGCAAGGGCCAAAGTTCATTGCCATGTATCTAACTCTTGACTGGAGAGGACAAGATATACCATTAAATGTAAATATACACTGTAAACTGCCTTTAGGATATCTTAATATACATGTAGAGTATCTATACTGTTTACATATTATATCTTTGTCACAGATTTATAAATACATGTACAAATATTTAACCACCTACTTGATTTTAGATCACCCATTAAGTCATTTAGGTGATCTACTGCTACATGTATGTACATGTCATATGAAATCCATTATTCATGAATTTTTTGACATTTTCAACTTCTTTTATACTGAAGCAACTGAATGAGCTATAACCATTTGTGCTAAATACATGTACATGTAGCATCTATGTGCAAATTAAGGGAAACAAAAATTTGGATTTCATGGACCCCATTCCACTGCAACTTAAGGAATGGGACTAAAACCTCCAAAAGAAATTTTTCATCTTTAAAATTCTTCATCTTAACTCCTGGATTCCAAGCAGATAAAAATTTTTCATGATGGTTAAAAAAGAGTAATTCCTCAACTAAAATATGAAATTCATGTATTCAGGTTATGAAAATCATGACTGAGGGTCAAATGATTATTGATCCTATGATTAAAATTTTAAAATTATGAAATATTAAAAAAATATTAAGATTCATCATCCCTTTCTTCACTGATATAAAATTATACTTTAATTTATATAATGATTTTCTAAAAGAAATAAAATTATAACTAAAAATTAATGTTTATAATATCAGGATACACTTTGATGAAATTCACTTCTTGACAGTTATTAAGGGAATAATAGTCATTGATACCAGTTGGAGTTATCTCTCTTTTCAGAGGGTCAGTGAACCTTAAATGTTACTGAGTTGTTTGGATGAAAAGAATAATAATATGAAACGAATCGAATTCATATTCAGTACTATATATTTCAAAACTGTGTTTTTACTAAACAATACCCTCCTCCCCTTAAGTAAGAGGTCTAAACAAAGGATGTTAATCAATCATTCAAAATTGTTACTTATAGATAAAAACATTACACTGGGAATGTAGAATTTATTCTGAATGATTCTGATTTCCACTAAAAACACAGATGTTAAATTCATTTTTTGGAAGACGAAAAATTCATCAATATAACAAATGCTTGATAAAATTAAGTTTTGTCTTTAAAATAAAATCCAGTAGCTTTTAGGAGAGCTTTGTTTGTGTGTGTGAGTGTGTGGAAGGGGGGGGGGGGGGGGGTTGGGGTTGAGCCATTATGGGCCAAAGGCAGCTCCCAGAACCCTTGCTGCTATATTTACATACGTATAATTTTTCCACAGCTAATATATGTATGCTCCTGATTAAATTATGTCAACTTTTATCATTGTACATTGCAGGCTACATCAAGGCTTCTTGTCAATTATCCTCAGAAACAGAGGGATGAAATATTGGATTACCTTTTCAAAGTAAGTTTTATTAACTGTTTTTAGTTTATGTTCAATTAACAAAAGTTTTTTGGAAATAAGGAATATTTTATGCCTTGCATCACTGGTTATAATCATAGGGATATCTCAAAGCATTACAGATTTGCTACATAAAAGTGTGTACTAAAATAAAACACTGACCATTATTTGTTAACATTTTGTTTCTGCCTTCATTTTAGCCTAATTTTGCTGCATCACTACATATACTGAAGGTGGAAATAGGAGGAGATGCCCAGAGCACAGGTTTGATTTTTTAAATGTAATTTGTGTAATTCTGGTATACAATTACTATTTCTTTTTAGTCCATCATTGAGTGAAAACTTTTGAATCATTGAGCTTTGGAACTCAGGTTTATGTAAATGAAAGGCCATCCATTTTCCAATAGGAGTTAATTCAGAAATAGGAAAATGAGGATTTGGTCTTAAGAATCTTCTTCTTATGAACCACAGCACACTAAAACACACTTATAATGAACTGCCAAGGATTAACAAGTTTGTTGTAACTAGTTTGTTATAACTAACAATATGTTTAAAAAACAAAAGTGAATGAAAATTACTTCACTGTCAGCAACTCAGCATTGCTTAGGGACTAGCTTGCTCAGATCTCCACTGAATATGTTAAATATTTGTGTTTTTTAAACACTTGAGTCTGACTGTCTTCTCTTTCTTTTTCTTGTTTTAGTTGATGATATTTTTGAATAATTTAATTTTAGTTGTAACAAGTCATTTGATTGGATAAAAGATTTCGTTTATATCGTATAACATAAGTTGCCTACGTCACAATGAGTTACGTCAAAAACTTATTACTCCGCTTGACGTTACTTTTAAAAGCCATTTTGGGGGGAAAAATTGTCTTATGTCTACACTGAAATTAATTATAAGGAATGAAGCTTATTTTAACCTATATTATACGATATAACATAACTTGGGGCAGTTTACGCTTTATAAACCGCGAAGCAGCCAAAAGGGTAAACTGCCCCAAGTTATGTTATATCTTATAACATAGGTTAAATTAAGCTTCATTCCTTAATTAAAGAAAAAAAGAAAGAAAGCTGAAATTTAGACAGAAATATAAAGGTTCTTCAGGCAGTTGGAATAATTGACTTATACAAATGTAATTGAAATAACATATGGAATTTAGAGATACCAGTTTTTAATTTATTTTACAAATACAGTGTATTTGACCTAAAGAATGTTATACAATTTCAGATGGGACAGAATCATCTCATATGCACCATCCAAGTGACCTGAATTTTAATAGGGGCTATGAATGGTGGCTTTTAAAGGAAGCTAAAAAGGTACATATATTGTTCATAATTTTTTTTAAAAAAATTCTTGTAGTTTCCAGAAAAAAATTGTTTATATATCAAATGTAATTATCTGCTTCTGCACAGTCTCTGCTGTGCTCTGACAATCATATATTGTTCATAATTTTTTTTAAAAAAATTCTTGTAGTTTCCAGAAAAAAATTGTTTACATATCAAATGTAATTATCTGCTTCTGCACAGTCTCTGCTGTGCTCTGACAATCATTTAATTCTAAAATCATCATTAGTTGCATCTTCATATTGTCAAACTGTTTATAGGTCACATGAGTCATACTATACTTTTTGTCTGTTGTGGGTCATCAAACTTTTTAACATTAATTTTTAGCTTTTTCATTAACATTTATGGCCAGTTTTGGTATGTGTATTGGGAATAAAACTTGTAAATTTAATTTAATCCCTGGAATTCTGGAGTCAAAATCTTCAAAATAAATGAAGTGTTCAAAAATGTTTTTCCTTACCTCATAAAATTTTAGAGTCAAACTGCACACATGGTGAAAACAAGCAATGATTCTGCTACCTTAATTCTAGAATTTATGTCCCATACCAAGGTCACAGAACTTATTTGAAACAACATTTTATTTTGATCTTGTTTTTCTGTACTCCCAGACCTCTTTTACAAACAAACACACACAATCAAATACATGGTAAGTGATACAGAATTTTCTTTGAAATAATCTCTATAAATCATTACATTAAGAAACAAGAAAAATTACATCCCCCTCCCTCCCTTCCCCCCTCCAACATCATTTAAGAAAAAAATGTAAATAATTTTTACTAAAACGAAACCTTATTTTCCAGAGAAATCCAGACATTCTTCTCTATGGACTGCCTTGGGCATTCCCAGGATGGATTGGGAATGGAACAAGAGATCCCTATCACAACCCCTCACTAACAGCGGACTACATCGTCAAGTGGATCTCGGGGGCTAAGGAAGTCCATAACTTAACCATAGACTTCATAGGGGTGGGTGCTATCAACTGTATAATTATATACATAATATTATTTAAGAATTTTAGATGTCCTTATTGGAACTGACAAATGGAAAAAAATAAAATAATGATTTTTTTTTCAACCTGCACGTGCTATGTACATATATCACATGTTTATTGGTTGGGATTTGAATCTGGGTTGGGTCCATAAAAAAATCATTACATTATGTGTTAAATTTTTATACCACACACACAGTTTTTAAATTTTTATTTAGCTCTTTTAAATTCATAAATTTTCTCGAAGCAAAGTGGTAAAATGCAATAAAAGATCAACAACTCTAACATCTCTATGATCTTTTTGGGTGGAAGCTGTGAAATGCAGTATGTTTTATTGCACTGAAATCAAGTATACCTGGAAATAACAATCTTTCAGTTCAAGTGTTACTTAAACTATACAATTCAATGATTGTTCCAATTATAACATATGGATCTGAAATATGGATCACAGACTATAAATTAGATATTAAATCTTCAGAATATTTTCCATTTGAAAAAATTCAAAATCATATTCTCAAAGATATTCTAGGTGTACATAGAAAAGCATCAAATTTAGCAGTTAATGCTGAACTAGGTTCTTATCCACTTTACTATTTAAGTTATGAAAACATGTTTAAATATTATATCAGATTAAGGAATATGGAATCAAATACCACATATAATAATGCACTTTTAGTATCAGCTTTCAAAGAGGACAAAGAGTTAGCTCTGAAAAAGGGGTTATACTTCATGGCAAAGCAAGATTTACAATCTTCAACAAAAACTAAACTTGACTTCTTTAAATATTTCCCATAAGGATTTGAGGTTTAAGTTAAATAAAACTTTTGTTGATATGACCTTTGAACAATTGAGCAAAATCTCATCTTCTAACCCAGGAAAACTTTATTTTTATAGTAAAATCTTAAACTGCACTGATTATAAATTACAGGATTACTTAAAGTTTCCTTTAAAAAAGCATGAAAGTTCACAGCTAACAAAATTAAGAATCAGTGCACATTCACTATTCATTGAAACAGGTAGATACTGTAAACCAATAATCCCTAAGGAAAAATGTTTATGCTATGCTTGTAAATTATTGGTTGAAAATGAAAAACATTTTGTACTTTACTGTCCTGTGTATGACGATCTTCGATTTCAATATTGTGATATTTTTGATGATAAATTATACTGTGGTACTGATCCCATTAAAGAAATTGTTACCCCATGTGATTATAATACTACAAAATGTTTATGTATCTACTTATATAAATGCTTTATGCAGAGGAAACAATGCCAAGGTCTATAAGGAACTGTGTAAAAATTGAACTGCATGCAATTATGTTATAACATTCTTCTCTTTTTTTTTCTGTTACATGTATCTGTCATTTGATTTCTTATTTTGACTGTATGCCAACATGGTGATGTCAATAAACTGAATTGAATTGAATTGAATTATTTCACATTTTTCCCATTACAGCTAGTGCTCTGTACTTGTATATCTTTTTTAAAAATTGGATTGAATTTGATATTTTTTTTTTCTTTCTCTACATGGATTAGATTTGGAATGAGAAACCATATGATGTTACTTATATAAAGGTATTTACAGGTTCTGTAGTACTATTTAGAAATTTCATTAAGTTATAATAGTTTTGAAGTGGAAATATGCTTCTCACAAATAGCAGTAAATCCAAGGTCAACAATTAAATCTACATTTATTATAAAGTATGACAGAGCCCAAACCAAGCTCAGAAATTTTTATTTCACATTTCCATACCATAGTTATGTTTTCATGGCTATGGTGTTTTTAAACATTTTATTACAGTTTAATTGCAATGAAGTAAATATTCATATGGAAAAAAGAAATTTCATTGTCACCAGGTGCCTTCAGGAAATTATTTAAAATATGAAATCAATTGGTTCTTACATATGCTTTGCTTTATTTTGCAGACTCTTAGAAAGACCCTTGATGCCCGTGGATTTGTCCAGACTAAGATTGTGGCCTCAGACAGTGGCTGGGGGATAATTAATGATATGAACAAAGACCAGGACCTGGCTAAAATTGTGGACTATGTAGGGTAAATTATCAACATTCCTTATAACATTATATTTCAGAATTGATATTTAGGTATGGGAGCTGAAAAGCTAGAAAAATATATAGGTACATTTTATTTGAGATAAACTGCACTAGTAGGCCTAGTCATAGAAGAAAAGCATGTAAGTTTTGTATGAAATTAAACCCACTGATATTTATACATGTATATTAATGGTGAAAAAATTCTATTTTAACACAAAAACATCCGTCTTTTTATTGACCTTTGCTTATGGTCTTGAATGAAAGGCTGATATTCTTCATTATTCATTTGCTAAGGAGACTGACCATATTTTATACAATTTTGCTTTATTTTGAACATGGTTGAATGCAAGAAAAATGTAAAATATCTTCAAGGCCAAGAGTTTTCTTTGTAACTTTCATACAGAATATATTCATGTATATAAATATGTTGAGACTTTGTAACAGATGTCCACAAAATTCAAATAAATGAAACTCTCACAAATTATAATGTGGCAATCTGTAATGGCTGCAAAGTCATTATAGATGTCCATGTATGCATTACTATTTTTAGATCGAACTACATGTATATGTAAATAATTGTGGAAGCAAGTGTCCATCAGGACATTTAAGGACATTGGCAAGTCAGGGTTTTCCGTAGAAAAAGGTTTAATACATGGGTTTTTTCACTTATGAAATAGTGATTGAGAGTGATCTCCCGTGTAGAATTCTCTTAGCGGTGAAAACCAATAAAGCATATGTTACAGAGGTAAACAAAAGCACATGTACATGTACTTCCTTCATCGGGTAGAATTTCATCTATACAGCAAGAAAGAAATGTAGTAATAGCTTTGTTGTACATTGTATTCAGGGGACAAAGAGCCAACAGGTCATCATTTACTATAGTTATGCTCAGTATGTTGGGATGGGCAAAGATGTGACATATGCTGAAAGGTAGACCGACGAAGATCAATTCTTGGGTTGTATGAACAGATGAAGGAAGCAGCATTTAGTAACTACGAATAAAAATTAAAATAAATCCATGCCAATATTTTATGACAATGAGTTTCAGTCAATTGCATGATAGAAACAATCAACCAGTCTGACTCTCTTGACCATTATGAATAATATGTAATTATAGCTGTTGAGGGAAGTAACTCAAAAATAAAGATCGGTGCCGGTATGTCCTTGTCTTGTTTCTCTATATATATTTTCAGCCAAAATATCTAGAAGTCATAGGAAATAAAGATACAATAATGTATATAATACAAAAACTATATGAAATAAGTGGGTTTTGGAGAAATATTTGGTAAAAAATTATGTAGGTCCCTTTTATCAACATTATACTTAGGAAATGCATTGAGAATTGCAAAAAAACTGATTTGACAAAATCTAAAAAAGAAGGTTGGCTTGGTAGGTTAAACAATCCAGAATATAGCCTGTTTAGTACAAGTAAACCAACTCTAGAGTTCTTGAAAAATTCTATACGATAACCAGGAACCTTGCCAATGTCCTTAAAATTTAAGAAGAAATAATTAATACATATTGTAAGGTGCATAAAAAGAGACAATCACTGTTTTTGAGATCTTCTGAGAAGAAAATCTCAAATTGTAGAATTTCTTTTTGATAAAGGATAGTGTAATCGATTTAATTTTAGGGTACATTATCCAGGAACTCTGTCTCCAGAATTTGCTAAGAAACAAGGGACACAACTCTGGTCATCAGAAGACTATTCCACATTCAATGACAATGTAGGGGGAGGCTGCTGGGCCAGGGTAAGTCAGGGGAACATTTGTCACTGAAGCAATGCTTTTCTTATCTTCCAAAGCTGAAGAGCAGAGCTACATAGCATGTCCAAATGGCAGAACACTTATAGTCAGATAGGAATGATATCAACCAAACCAATAAATTTCAGCCTGTTTTAATGCAAAATTATCTGTGTCAATAACATGTACAATGTATGTGGTTGTATTATGGTAAATTTAAATGTTGTAAATATTTTTCTTTCAGATTGTAAACCAAAATTATGTCAATGGACTTATGACGAGGTAATATTTTAAATCAATGGCTAGAAATACGCCGTAGTACTGGAATACTTATCAACATTTGTAAAGGAACTGAATTTAATGCTCACCTCAATAAGGTTAAAAGAGATTATGCTATATCTCTTGGCACCGTCCATCTGTCTGTCTGAAAAATTATAGTCATGAAAAAAGAATCACTTTAAAAATTACCGGGTAATTAAAACTTTCTGTATATTTACTTCACCATTTAGTTTTGTCTATCATTATGCAGAAATTTATCTCTGAAAATGCTGATTACCCACTCTGAGCCATAGTAAAAAAAAAATTTATGTTGGAGAACCCTGGTTTGGGGAGGCACTGGAAATTCAGAGAATGCATTCAGAGTGGAGTTATAAATATTTTAAAATTATTATTATTTTGTGTGTGTTACATATTATGATATACTGTTGTCCTAGTACCATTTCCTGGAACCTGATTGCCAGTTATTACGAAGCTTTACCGTTTCCCCGTAATGGTCTGATGACAGCTGAGACACCCTGGAGTGGACATTACGTTGTAGAAAGTCCTATCTGGGTCACAGGTAAGGTACATGTATTTAGGTATGATACTATGTTGCAGGAATTTTTTTTAATAACATTAAATTCATTATATTTTCATATCTGAAAGCAAGTATTTAGTTTTAGCAGTAATGATCCATAAGAATTCTTGTTTTGGTAAAGTGTCTTTCATCCATCTCTTTGTCTATCTGTCTGTCTGTGAACAGTTTTAATATGCTACTGCTCCTAGTACAGTTTTTTTTATTCTGATTTGAATAAAACATACAACTAGAATACAACATAAATATACAATTTCTGTGTATCAATTTTTTTCTCCCAGACCATTTTTATGTTCAGACCTGTAGAGCTACAGTCTCCTCAGAAAGGTCTTGTTGTTTCAGCCCATACAACACAGTTTACACGACCTGGCTGGAAGTACCTCCCCCATGATAAGGGGGTCAGTAGATTACAGGGCGGGGGGAGTATGGTGTCTTTAGTCAGCCCTGACAACAAGGATCTCACCATTGTTATAGAAAGCATGGTAAGAGAGTAAATAAGCTTTAGCTATAGTGAATTGGTTATCTACATGTATTTCTACTTTAAATCACCTTTCACTCATGAGAACTTTATTTTCCAGAGAACTTTATTTTTACATACAGAGATTTTTTTTTTAAAGAGGCACCGTGACAGACAAATGGGAAAATTGACAAAAGTAGAATTTTTGCAAGACACATGCAAATTTTACTCACTTCTTAATAGTATTAGGTTTCAGAAAATTACAGGTTTCAAAACCTAAAAAATCTACTTTTATGGAGAAAAATATAAGTAAAAATAATTTTAGGTTGCCCCAACACAAAAATATTGCTTCACTTCTTCCTCTTCAAGGTACGCATGGGCAGAAAAGTTGAAGAAGTTACCACAGTGTCAATTCCATAGGTTTAGATGTCAGTCGACCGAGAATTTTGATATAATCTTCAAAAAAAGATGATCAGAACTTATTCCACACTTTTGATTGCTAGTTTCATGCTAAAAATAAAAGACACATGACCTTGACATTGACGATAACAACCACGCCATAGATACGACTTTTCTTCTTCCAGCACTTACATTTTGCAGTCTTTTCTTGCTTTTACCATGCAGTTGAGATCTCAAAACTTCTCCTTATTCATATTTTTCATAAATCTTTAGATTTATGATACAATTATGATACAATTATCTTAAAAGAAACACATGATATTAACTCTCTATGTAACTTTAAAAAAAAGGCAATCATGTATAAAGCAAAATGAAAATGAGGTAATGAAATGACTTCTTTTATGAGTTTTCATTATGGAAATAGCCTTGCAGGATATTAAAAAAATGAGACTCTGTCTCTATGTATGAATAAGAAACCATACATTTCCCTTTCAGAGCCATGATCATTCTGTCTGCATTAGACCCCCACTCCCTCCTTACTCTGTAAACCCCCAGAATGTTACATTACAACTCAAAGGAACATATGTAAGTTATACTGATTTTAGTTTTAAAAATATGTTCACATTAACATGTGAAAGAAGTTTTTGAATATGGCATTTCACTATTGTAATGAATTTTCTACAGGCAAATATATCATCTCTTTATTTATGGAAGAGCAGTTTTCAGTTTGGACAAAATTCCTCAAAATCTGATTTCTTTAGATCATTTGGACAAATCAAGGTAAGGCACTGCTATAAATACTTAATAATAAGTATTACACTGTGGCTTAGAAAGGTAGAATGCCAAATAATTTTAGCTCACCTGAGCCAAGACTTAATTAATTAAGCTTTTCTGATTAAAGAGTACATGGCATCTGTTTGTTATTTTGTTTGTAAACTTTTGACATTTTTTTTTTACATCTTTTCCAAACCCAGAGGACAATAATTTAACCAAACTTGGCATAAAATATTCTTGGGTTCAAGTTTGCTCAAATGAAATGCTATGAACATAGGGTGTTAAGAAATACAGTGTAGCTATGATTGTCATTCAATTTTTTTCTTCACAAATTTAAACTTATTTGAATGCTGCCTTACTGAGTTATAGATTCAAGTATGATTTGTTCAAAGTCATGCTCATATTTCTGTTGTTACATTATATCAATTTTGCTTTTTATTCTTTTTTTAGGACTGTTTTAATGATATATGCATTGAAATTTGAACGCATTTAGGTGATTGGTGGAATTCTAAGTATATCTCTCAATGTTGATGAGGTCATCACCATAACAACCATTTCAACAGGACAGAAGGGACTGTATCCAAACTCTCCAGATGATAAACCCTTTCCTTTGCCGTATAGTGACAACTTTAATGGTACATGTACTACTTTGTTTCATATTTTTATCTTAAAAACAGTTGAACTTTTGTATCTTGAACATCAATATCTCAAATAACACGGATATACATGTATCAAAGTGAGTTGGAAGACGGAACCACTCTTTAGCTCACCTCAACGAAGTTGGGGGAGCTTATGTAATACCCTCGGCGTCGGCTTTGGCGTCGGTGTCCCAGGTTAAAATTTTTGGACCAGATTTCTTTTCAAGTACATGTACTTCTATGCCCATTATTAATCAGAAAAGCATGGAGGATGCTTCTAGTATGTTTCATTGTACCAGTCAAGGTTTCAGATGCTGCAATAACCAGGTTAATGTTTTAAGAGCAGGTGTAAGTTCTTGGAGAGGGTAAAATTTTTTGGAGCAGGTCTCATTTCCAAGTAACTATAAGCCCTATATTGACCAAACTAGCATGGATGATACATCTGAGGATGCACACTACTGGACTTGCTTCAGATGCTGGATCTGACCTACATTTTCCGGATGAGTGACCAGGTTAAAGTTTTTGGAGCAGGTCTCATTTCCAAGTAACTATAAGCATTCTATTGACCAAACTAGCATGAATGATACATCTGAGGATGCACACTACTGGACTAGCTTCAGATGCTGGATCTGACCTACATTTTCCGGATGAGTGACCAGGTTAAAGTTTTTGGAGCAGGTCTCATTTCCAAGTAACTATAAGCATTCTATTGACCAAACTAGCATGAATGATACATCTGAGGATGCACACTACTGGACTTGCTTTGGATGCTGGATCTGACCTACATTTTCCGGATGAGTGACCAGGTTAAAGTTTTTGGAGCAGGTCTCATTTCCAAGTAACTATAACCATTATATTGACCAACCTTGCATGGATGATACATCTTAGGATGCACACTACTGGACTTGCTTCAGATGCTGGATCTTACCTACATTTTTTGAATGAATGACCAGGTCAAAGTTTCTGGACTTGGTTTGGATGCTGGTTCTGACCTACATTTTTCGGATGAGTGACCATGTTAAAGTCTTTGGAGCAGGTCTCATTTCTAAGTAACTATAAGCCCTATATTGACCAAACTAGCATGAATGATACATCTGAAAATGCACACTACTGGACTTGCTTCAGATGCTGGATCTGACCTACATTTTGCGGATGAGCAACCAGGTTAAAGTTTTTGGAGCAGGTCTCATTTCCAAGTAACTATAAGCATTATATTGACCAAACTTGCATGGATGATACATCTGAGGATGCACACTTCCAGGCTTGCTTCGGATCCAGTATCTAACCTACATTTTCTAGAAGAGTGACCAGTTTAAAGTAAACTATAGAGCTATCTGAACCAAACTTGCATGGATGATGTATCATGGGATGAACACTCTCAAACTTGCTTTGGTTGCTGGATATGACTTAAATTTTCTGGATGAGTGACTAGTTTTAAGTTTTTAGGTAAGTCCATTCCCAAGTAACTGCAAGCCCTATTGGACCATAATTGCATAAATATTACATTTAGGGATGCACACTACTAGATTATTAGTTTGGGACTTTGCCTTACTTAAAGACAACATTCAGTGAGGTGAGCTCTGTAATCTCTGATTACGTATGTTTGAGTTTCAAATAATTATTTTAACTTCAGTATCTGAAATCTTCAGAAATATCAAGTTTTCCCTCAGCCCCATCTAGTTTAAAATATATTTTGACTTTATGTTTCTCCAAAAGTCATACTGATTTCTATAATTTTATAGCCATAAAGTTTCTCATAGGATTCTTTTTTATGATAAAGAATATTGTTAATAGAAAATTCACGTATATTGATATAAAGGAAGATATTTTTTTAATCATCATGTATAGGATATGCCTATTTTTTTGAACCTAACAACTTTGCACAGCAGACTGGGGCATATGAAATAGTTAAATCCTCAGATTCTGCCAGAGAAAAAGTTGTTATGCAGACAGTGTTGGATTTACCTGTGTCTTGGTGTCAGGCAGAGAAAGCTAATAAGTCCATCAATATTATAGGAAACTATAGCTGGTAAATATCATGGTATCTTTGCAAGGAGAAGTTTAACAAATACATCATTTTTGTAATTAATTCTCTATTTTGTGAAGATGGACCTGTGCAGTTCATCATGGTCAAGTACATTTTTTTCAAATGTTGTACATTACATGTAATTGCTTCAGCACAAGTGATTAAACTTATTATATACTTTCAGCTTTATAATTGATTTCATTGTATCATAGTGTAGCTGAAAAGTGCTCGGAACAAGCCATAGTATTAATTGTATCCCATATACATGTATCTCATTAGAATTTCAATTTATCACACATTCAAGGATCGCAGTTTCACTTTTCCGTGATTTGACATAGCTTTTCCGCGAAAAAATTCATGCTTTTCTGTGACAAGTTTTATTGTTTCTCTGCGATAACAATTTTAGCTTTTCCACAACTTTTTTTTCATATGTCTTCCATTAATTAGCCAGGTAAAACCTGTTGCCCCCTGCTTACCAAGGGAAGGTTGTAATCCTGGCTTTGCAGATTTTATCAATGCTGCCTCGGAATGACACATCCCCATTCCTTAAAACCTTTTCTTTTTTGTATGTAAATCCATCGTAGATTATACATTTATTCCCACAATTTAATTTCCATATTGCTTAAAACATCTAAACCTATTACCGAAAAGTGTGAAGTGCGAGATTCATTCAATTTATATTACCATGTGAGTAAGTACTCATTGCCTAGTAGAACGCTTTTGGGAAATACAGGTAAATATCAGTAGCCGTTTGATGTTATATAATGCTAAGCACGACCATTTAAAAATTGGACGTATCAAAAACAAGAGGCCCATGGGCCACAACGCCTACCTGAGTTACTTTGGTCCTGCTGTTCTTCACCAGATCCCCCCATGAAATACTTATTGTAGCCCCACCCTACCCCTGGGGGGCCATAATTTGAACAATTTAGAATCTACACTACCCCAGGATGCTTCCATAAAAGTTTCAGTTTTTCTGGCTTAGTGGTTCTTGAAAAGTAGACTTTTCAAGATTTTTCCTATATATTTCAATGTAAAACTTTGATTCCCTATGTTTCCCCCACCCTACCCCCAGGGGCCATGATTTGAAGAATTTAGAATCTACACTATCCTAGGATGCTTCCATATAAGTTGCAGCTTTTCTGGCCCAGTGTCTTGAGAAGATTTTTTAATGACCCCACCCTATTTTTGTCTTTTCTTGATTATCTCCCCTTTTAAGGGAGGTTGGCCCTTCATTTTAAAAATTTAAACTCCCCTTCACCCAAGGATGCTCTACCAACTTTGATTAAAATTGGCCCAGTGGTTCTTGAAAAGAAGTTGAAAATATGAAAAGTTTACAGACAGACGGATGGACGACGGACAACAGTTGATCAAAAAAGCTCACTTGATTTTTGAGCTAAAAAGGAGATAACACATAACATATATACCTGGTAGTAAAAACCAATTGTGCAAAAGCAGTATAGAGTAGTCGTGGAAAAGCAACAAGGTTCCGAAAATAAAATCGCAGAAAAGCAGGTCAGCCGCAAGGCTATTTCCCACTTTGCAGAGTAATTTCTATTCAAGCAAATTGATTTATCTAACATCCCAAGCAGTTAGAGTATATACTTCTCTGAAGAACTACCATAAAATATATTTAATTAATCCTTATTAATTCTTGTCTTGCATACACACTGATAAATTCTACCTCTAATTATGGTCATGTAACAGAATATTTTAAAGTGTGTATTTCATAATCATATTGAATACACTGAATATCAATCAAGAGTAATGAAACAAAATATTGTCTAAAATATTCAATAAACAATATACCACCCTCAAACTTAAGACTACAGTCAAAATATATGAACTTTGCAATAATGTATTTGCAATTTGAAATAAAATCTGAAGTCTATGACACTTGCCCTATCATGAGAGTTGGTGTTTGCTGAGACTTGATTGTAATGTGCTTTCTGGCAGCTCCATGTTTGTGAGGATTGAATGTGTCAGGATATTTATTTTTCTTAAGTTCAGCTATTGCAAATACATCTTTATTCCTTCCTATGAGCTGAAACAGTTGTTTAATCTGTGTCAAGTACAGGTTTGTTTCTTCAGTTTGAATCCTTTTGTCCTTGGCAGTGTGCTGTGAAAGTGTTGTATGGCAAGAAAAATGATGCAATTTATTTTCTATGTTAGAAACTTTTTTTTATTGAAAACTCATGTTTTCTTGCTTGCACCCAAATAGACTTCCATTTGCCACCTCATACTGGCTGTTTAATTCCTTTTTTTCTGCAGCAAAATCCTTATATGTTCACCGTCTTCCTTATCAAGTAAACTTAATATTAAAATCTATAAAATATGTGCTCTAGCTTCAGGGTCAGTTAAGAGGTTTTAAGCACAGGCATTTGTTTTCTGTAATAAAAGTTTACCACCATAGTATAATGATAACACAAGATATGCAACTCCAAATTAAATATGTAAGTAGACCCTCCCCAGCATTGCAGTCATTTTCACATATTTTGCTTTCAGAGAAGTGTTTATACTACCATTCTATCCTAAGTCTACAGTACAGTATTGTATACAACTCATGAACAAAATAAATGAACCACTCGTTAGACCAGTTACTTATACATCTGCAACACAGTATTGTTTGTTTATATATAAACAGGGTATGCAGAAAATGTAGAGCCAACACTTTTTGCTCAGCAAGTGGGTGTGTTTGAAACCAGGAAATCAGATGATCCCAGTCATGGCATGGTGCTCACCCAGGTTGTCACCTTCCCTCCTATCTATTGGTGTATATTTAATCTTGTGTTTCCCCTAGATCTTATTGGAAACAACACTTGGTAGGTAACTTCCTGTTGCTCTGGTACGTCTTATGCATCCACTTTCACATTCCATTCCTGGCATTTTCAGGACTGTAAATCTCACTTCTCTTACATATCATATTAACCAGTAAATGTTACATGCATCATGTGCACATAACAAACTTATCGCTTCTATTGTGTCATGTACATGGTTTTTGGAACATCTAAGATAAACAGGTTGGACTTTGCTTGTGTGTCTCATTCATGCATTCTCACAATTAAAATCTACCTCATCCTCATTGAATATCATAGCTTGCTTCATGTACTAAATGTTTCGCTCATCCTCAGTAGAAATTTCAAATGATTGAGTATTTTTGGAGAATGTAAGCATTAAGATTTATTGAAAACTTTCCAGTTTATATGTACCCATTTCATTCAGTGGCATGTGAAATTTGATATTCAGTTATTGCCAAAAAGATGTCAGATTTTCATTAGTTGCTTTATATTACAGATGAATTGTAATAAAAGCACAGATATAAAGAGATTAATTATGAGCTGTATTTGTTAAACTTCTTCAGACTTGCTTCAGTATTTATTTGCTCTATTTTTAATTCATTTCAATTTTATTTTTAAAGATTTGCATCATATTCTTCATTAATATTTTTAAAAAAAAATTACAACTGATTTACAGCAATATTTGATATTATAAATTTCATTGTAAAAGGACTGACATGGCAGTGAGTGTTGAGACACAGATCCCAAAGGTCAATGGGAGTTCAGGGTCGTTTGTTGCAGTAAGGGTGGATCAAGGGGGGTGTAATGCTTGGGAAGCCAAAGGAATATTCTTTTTCATCCTCCCCAGTGAACAGAAATATGTTCTATCTAATGATGTGTGTAAGTACAACCAAAAAAGAGTCTATGCAAATAAAATTAAATTTTATTTTAATAATTAGAAATTATATGCAACAATATCAGAAATTCTAGAAATTTTCATCTTGCTAACGTGTATAAATTTGGTGATCTACAGTGAGACAGTCAATGATGATCCACATATTTAAAATTCCATTGATTTGACACAAGTGTAACATGGTGTATTTCAAGTCATAATGATAATATACAATATAAAACTTTGGTTTCTCGAGCACTGATATCTCGAATACCATGGATGAGTCGAATGATTAGGAATTCCCAACTACTAATATTCTTAGTATTTTACCCTCAATATCTGGAATCCTTGGATATCTCAAAGTTTTTTTCTCAGTTCCATTGAGTTCAAGATAATGAGATTTGACTATAATTTGATGATCATATAATTAATTAAGAGTGAACATTTTCTTTTTTTTTTTTGCAGCTCGTACTTCTGTCATACAAGAGGGAATAGCCAACTTCTCTGTCAATGGTTGGAATACAATTAGTTTAATTGTCAAGGTAAGTATATCATATACATGTAACTGCAACACAAATATCTTAAACACTAAAGATGCATGTATGTATGGGTTCCTATGGAACAAAATTTAAACAGCTGTCTGGGTATAGGTGTAACAATGAAGCTCATTTTAGTTTAAGAATGATTAATATTAGTCCTGACACGTAAGTTTTGTAATGATATTAATTTATTTTACAGAATACAACAGCTGTTGGCAGTCTGAATGGAGTGAGTTTATTTAAAACCAATGTGCCTCCTAAACCAGCCAATGGCTTTGTAGCCATGGGAACAGATTCCTATGGCCTAGCAAATTTCGATAATTTTAAAATGATGAGCTCTAAGGACATTGATTTAAGTGGAATAAAGTTACCTGAAAAAGTTTATTCCAAAGACACAAAACTGTACTTCAAATCAAAACATGTGCACCATAGCTCAAGGAAATATACCATAGTTTGATATATAATTATATAATATTACATATATAAAAAAAATATAAACTCCAAACAAACAAAACATAAAATCAAAACACATGCACCATTGCTCAAAGTTATATTAGATTACACATAAAATTGATATATTCCAAAAACACAAAACTTAAAACACATGCTTTTTAGCTCAAGGAATATACCATAGCACGTAGTTATAGCACATTGCAAATAAAACTCATATTTCAAATGAGACAATGTGGTACATTGATTGAGTCAATTGCTACACTCATTTTCAAGATGATTTGATTTCACGTTCCAAATAGCATAACATGCATTTACATCATTTATGTCTGAAAGCTTTCATTTTGCAAGAAATGATACTATGTAAAGACTTAGTTGTGATGTTCTCTTTCTCATCAAATGTGCCATTTGTAGAACAATATGGAGAAACCCAGTGAACTTATGAGTGCTGATTATAATTGTTGTTATGAAATGTTATTATGCTAATGTATGACATGATTTTATTTGTACGTTATATTTATAGATCTCTGGGTATATACATGTATAATAACTGCACACTTTTCTAGAGCTTCCATTCATTATGAATGTAAAGTGTTTCAAAAACTAAACAAGCATGTTATGTCTGACTGGAAGATTATTTTGACATCTATCACTCAAGTAGCTTTGCAATTTTGTAGTTGATTTTCAGAAATATTATATAGGTAATTTTACACACATTGTGTAAGATTTTTAATATGTTGAAGACTGATTATTGTCAAATAAAGGTGCTGTACCATGATTTTAATTAAATTTTTTTTCCCAAAGTGGAATACTTGTATACAGGGAAATATTTGCCCCTGTTTTATTTTGGCCCCTTTCGCCCTACTCACAGGTGGGTAAATTTAAAACAGGGCGAATTCAAAGAACACAGTATAAATTCTTACACAGAACTGTAACTGGACAAATTTAAAATTGTGTGCAAGTGTGAAAGGGCAAAAATAACATAAGTCAAAAATAACCCTGTATACAGTATCACTTACAAAATACTTTTTCTTCAAATTTAGTATAATAGTCCAGTGACATAGACTAAATTGTTGTCTAGTGACATAGACTAAATTGTTGTCTAGTGACATAAACTAAATTGTTGACTAGTGACATAGACTAAATTGTTGTATAGTGACATAAACTAAATTGATGTCTAATGACATAAAATAAAGAGGTATCTGAAACTGGAAGTTACTAAAAAGTAAAATACTTCCACAACAAACCTGGAATTTAATCACGAGAACATTATCAACAAGATGTCTATGGTCCTTGACGAATCATGAGTTTCTCAGACTATGAGCACTTTGGTTCTACATGGAACTGGAAATGTCAGTCAAACCTCCTTCCTTCATTCCTGGAACGTTAGGAGTTCTAAATCAGTCTTAGTGATGAATCTGACCTTCCTAGATTTGTAGTCTTGAGTAATGACGTGGGCAGCTCAGCATTGTACACATTCAAGTCTTTATCTGGATTCGCTTTAGTATGATGGTTCAGTTTAATGGCATCATTTCCGGATAATAATGCCATACTGTAAGGTCGACTGTACCAATGAATGATATAAGCATTTTTACATGGGGTAAAATAGTGATGTTTGTTGTGGCGCAGGCAGCGTAAGGTTGATTGATTGATTGAATGTTGTTACCGGTAGGTCCCGTTCGAGAATTTTTCATTCATATAAAGACGTCACCATAAACCGGTGAAGGGCTTCAAATTTAGACCTTTACTCTGCACCTAGGGTCATTGAGCAGAGAGGGTTCTTTATCGTGCCAACGCCTGTTGTGACACGGGGCCTCGGTTTTTAAGGCCTCATCCGAAGGACCCTCAACCCGAACACTTGGCGAAGGAACAGTTGCTACCTATTTTTTATCGACTTAGGTCAGTCGAGGCCGCGATTCGAACACACGACCTTCAGATCACGAAGCGAGCGCCCTACCGACTGGTAAAGAATAGGTAGCAAATGTTCCTTTGCCAAGCGCTCGGCACTTTGAAGTGAAAGTTGCGGGTCCTTCGGATGAGACCTTAAAAAGTCTGTGTTTTTTCCCTGTTCAAGATCTTTATCAATTACAGGATTTATGATATTGATTACGTTTTGATATACGGTATAACAAATAATCATCGGCAAAGGTTTGTTTGGCGAGCTACGTTTCAGTGCGGAACCCTTATTAAGTTTATGTTCCAAGAATTTGGAAAGAAAACAGGTACAAGACGCAGGTCTGTAATTTTCTGGGTTCCTGTCGGTAAAGTCCTGGAGGAGGACCCCGATAGGGTTGCTATAAGATCTGATCGCTTTAGAAATGTTCAATATTTCCAGAAGCTTTTCTGAGATAATCTAGGATGCCACTTATTCCATTTGGCACTCTCTTTGTCGTTGATGGCTTCTCTGTGATTATTGTTCTGGTAGACACAACGCAGAACTGTTTGAGCAGAATGTTGTCTTTTGATTTACTTTCCTCTATCTTTGATTGGTGATACTCAAATGTTCTCCTGTTTCTACCGTTGTTCTGAGCAAGTGCTTCCTCAATGGTCTTACTTGTGTTTGTGAAGTCTCACTCTGTTGCAGTTCTCCCAGTTGGTTTTACGGGTTGTTGCTTTAAATTACTAAATTTCGTCAGTTTCTTTCTCGTCTAGTGTACCGAGTATCTCTGAATATTCTAGAGAGAACATATCTATCCACTAATCTGAATTTCTACTTTTCTCCTTCGTTTTATCGTTCTTCTATACTTCTGGAGGTATACACAGTATTTTATGGGAAAACTATTTAAAAATCTCAAGAACAGCAGGGTCATTTTTTTCATGTAGACTTTCCTATTTAATGTACATCAAGATTCTCCAAATCGTAGTGCAAGGATAGCCCACAACAGAGGGCGAAAGATCTACATGGTTATATATATATATAGATTAACTTTAAGAATAGTGATCCACCGCTTTCGAGGTTTTATTGGGTTGCAATGATTTGTGGCATATCGTAATTGTCTCGTCTGTCATTGTTGTCTGTCTATCATCCCAACATTTATTTTGAAAGGAATATGTTCTGGTGCGAAAGTTATGGCCAAGATTAAAATTCTTGAAAGTCAAACTGGTTTAGGTCATGAGGTCAAAAATCATACTGCATTTCGTAAATAAATGTCTTGTCATAAGTATTGTACTTAAGAAAAAAAAATATGAAAGCCCTGTCTATTCAGGTGTAAAAGTTAAGGTTAATATTAAATTTTTGAAATGTAGCTCTAACTTGAAGGTCAAAGTCATGAGTCAAAAATCATCATATCGGGAAAGGCCTAGTCACATGCCATGGCCATGCAAAAATATAGAAGCCATACATATATCTCTTCTAGTGAAAAAGTTATAGCCAAAGATGAAAAATTTTGAAAGGTAGGGCAAACTTCAAGGTCATGAGGTCAAAATGGTAGTAGTTCTTGAAAGGTGCCACAGGTAATGTACATGAATTATATTCTCTCCTTCAAAAGAATTTACCAAGAAATATCAATTTTTAAAAAAAAAAAAAAAAAAGTCAAACTTCGAGGACACGGGGAAAATTATATTACATTTGGAAAGGTCACAGGTAAAACACATGTGAAATATAAAAGCCACATCTTCTGTCAAAAGTTATAACCAAGTTTTTGTGACAGACGGACGGACAGACTAACAGACGAATGAGATTTTATGTCGTGAAAGTAGGGGACAAAAATCTTTTGAAGAACAACAGGGCTACAATTTAATAAAGACGTGTATCGCCATGCAAGTAATCATAGTAAAGATTGTACCGACTGAGAATCCCAGTTGTCAGACCAAATATTAATTTTGCAAGTTGTGAGAATACAAGCAAATTCAAAGAATTGAGGTCCCCCGCTTTCGGTGTCTTAGTGGTTGGGATACAATTAGTTATGGCATATTATAACTGTCTTGTTTTGTGTTTTTCAAACTTGTAGATCAAGATCATTAAGTCAAAAATGATATATCTTTCTGAAAGGTGTTCTTATAGATAGTGTACTTGTATTGCAAAATATGAAAGCTCTATCCTCTCTCAATCAAAAGTTATTTCCAAAGTAAACAAGATGTGTTTGTGAAACACTGATGCCCCGTATCGCAGCTTATGGCAAAGGTTAAAGTTTCTCAAATGCAAGTCAAAATCCAGGTCAAGAGATCAAAAAAGTTGGTACTCAAAGAATGGTCTTGTCTCGAGGAATATACCTGTGAAATTTGAAAGCCCTGGCTCCAACTGTTCAAAAGTAATGGCGAAGGTTAAATTAAAAAATGTCAAGGTCAAGGTCAAATGGGGCCCAAGGGGAGGTCTTGTCAAAAGTGATACACATATTCGTGAAATGTGAAAGCCCTAGAACCAAACGTTCACGTTATGGTCAAGGTTAAAGATTTTTAAAAGTAGTTCAACTCCAAAGTCAAGATCAAGGCCAAATTTGTTGGTATCCAAAAGAAAGTCTTGTCCCAAGGAATGCACATGTGAAGTATGAAAGCCGTAGCACCAAATGTTTAAAAGGTATGGCAAAGATTAAAGATTTTCAAAAGTAGGTCAAACTAAAAGGTCAAGGTCAAAGGGTCAAAATTGTTGGTATCCAAAGGAAGGTCTTTTCATAAGAATTACATATGTGAAGTATGAAAGCCCTAGCACCGACCATTCAAACGTTATGGCCAAGGTTAAAGTTTTTCGAAAGTAGGTCAAACTCCGAGGTCAAGGTCAAAGGGTCTAAGTGGTTGATATCCAAAGGAAGGTCTTGTCCCAAGGAATACACATCTGAATTTGAAACCTCAAGCACCAACTGTTCAAAAGTTATGGCCAAGGTTAAAGTTTTTCAAAAGTAGGTCAAACTCCAAGGTCAAAGTTGTTGGTATCCAAAGGAAGGTCTTATCACAAGAAATACACATGTGAAGTTTGAAACCCCAAGCACCAACTGTTCAAAAGTTATGGCTAAGGAATACACATGTGAATTATGAAAGTCATGGCTCCAACCGATAAAAAGTTATGGGCAAGGTTAAAAGTTTTTGCGGACAAACCAGACAGACAGACGGACGGACAGGGCAAAAACTATATACCCCCGAATCTTCGATACGGGGGCATAGATAATTGAAAAAGACTGTGGGTTAAACTGTAAGGTCAAAGTCATGAGGTCAAATGCCAGAGCACATTCGAAAAGGTCTTGAAACAGGAAATGCTCATGTCAAATATGAAAGCCCTATCTTTTCTCATTCAAAGATTATAACCAAGGTAAAGTTTTTGTGACAGACAGACTGAAAGACGGACAAACTGACAGATGAATAAGATTTAATGCCACCTTACTTTCGTGAAAGCGGGGGACAAAAATGACATATTGAATACTAGTATGGTTTTTTTTTTCTTTTTTATTGAAGTGTATTCTTACCAATAAAATGGGTTTTTTTTATTGCTATAATGATAACAATTAATTCGCGAAAGCGAGGGGGCATTTAATCTCATTCGTCTGTCAGTCTGTCACAAAAACTTCAACCTTGGTCATAACTTTTGACTGAGAATAGATAGGGCTTTCATATTTCACATGTACATTACCTGTGACACGGCCTTTCAAAATATACTATTATTTTTTAACCCGTTGACCTTGAAGTTTGACCTCCTTAAAAAAAATTATTACTTTTACCTTGAACGTAACTTTTGATTGAGAAGAGATAAGGCTTTCATATTTTACATGTACATTACCTGTGATAAGACCTTTCAACATATACCATGATTTTTCACCCCGTGATATCGATGGATAGAGCATTCATATTT